TACTTGGAAGGCTGAGGCAGAAGGATCGCCGGAACCCAGCGGGTCGAGGCTGTGGTGGCCAGGAGCATGCCACTGCACTCCAGTCTGGGTGACAGAGTGAGACTCCAAATCAAAAAAATAAAAATAAAAAAATGTGATGACCTTGCTGGTCCCTCCTATGAAAACATGGACATTTAGGAGGCCAAGAAAGGCGTGTATTTGCTCATTTTGCTGAATTAATAACGTTTACGCAGCCGGGTACAGCAACTCACACCAGTAATCCCAGCACTTTGGGAGGCTGGGGTGAGAGGATTGCCTGAGCTCACAGGTTCAAGACCAGCCTGGGTAACGTGGCAAGACCTCATCTCTACAATAAATTAAAAAATCAGCCGGGCATGGTGACACACGCCTGTGGTTCCAGTCACTTGGAAGGCTGAGGCGGATGATCTGAGCCCAGCAGGTCGAGGCTGCAGCAGCCAAGAGCATGCCACTGACCTCCAGCCTGGGCAACAGAGTGAGAACCCAACTCAAAAAATATATATATATATTTATGCTGAAGCAAGATGAAAATGTCAGGCCCTTGGGCTTCTATGGTCTGTAGCTCAGGCTGGAACTAGAATCCAGACAACCAAGTTATATATGGTTTATCCCTTTATTGTTTCTCCTTTTATCAAAACCTGTCACAGTTGGGGGCCAAGAGAATGTAAAAAAAATTCCCACAAATATTTCCCCTCGTTACCCCTTAGTCCCCCCCCCCAATCCAGGGCTTCTGGCCAACCCTGGGCACACATGATCATTTCCCCCCACCCTCAGCCTTCTCCCAGCAATAAATACAGATGACCGTGAGTCAATGAAACAACTGATTTCTCCATCTTGAATGCCCCCCAAAGGGGACAAGAATGGGGCAAAAGAAGTTTAATGCTCATCCCCTCTTAAGGAGGCATGGAAACTTCTTTCCCCCAAGGGACAAGGGACATAGAAATGCCCGTCAAAACTGCAGCAGCTCTGGAAAGAATCAGGGAGAGGAAAAGGTTGGAATAAAAGGGAAGATGATGTTCTCCAGCAACCTCACTCCTTTGATCCATTCATCCCTTACCAGGTAAGGGGTGGTCCCAGTGTATCAGTGGGGCATAAAAAGGGGAGGGCTGACAGAGTAGAGCCAGGAGGAAGAAATAAAAGGAGGGAGAGCAGTCTGGTGGGGAGGAAAATGGAAGCAGAAAAGGAGCCCAAAAGCTCATTGCTCTCATCTTCCAAGAAATGGCATTAACACATGAGAGTCATGAATGGACAGGGTCTGGGGGAGACTCAGGGCCCCCAAAGAAGGGAAAGAGAAGAGGCAAGGGCCTTATGGTTCCCAGGTCTTCATAATGAATGTGCTCCAGTTAGAGCAACAGAATGTTAGAGGGGTGATGGGAAGGCTTGGTATCAATGGAGTAGAAGAGGTCAATGAGATCACAAGAAGAATTTGGAGCCCAGGGTCAGCCCTGTCATCCTGCCCAAATATTGGCAGAATAAAGGGTCTTGGGATAAGAAAGGTAAAGGCTGGGAAGGGTCAAACTCCAAGGCAGAAGAAAGAGTAACTTTCACTCCCAATGCTCCCCTCCCCCAACCCAAAACATCCCTTGGGTTATCGCAGGTGAATACTCCAGTCAGATGCCACATTGACACCAGGTTTGCGCAGGATCAGCACCGAGGTCTCAGGGTCATGCTGGAAGGACAGGCGGCTATCTGGAGAACCTAGGGGAGGAAGAAATAAAGAGTGCCCTAGTCATACCAACAGGCTATAGTACAGCAACTACATGACTACGCGCCAGGCCATCCCCAACTCTGCTGCCAGATCAGCTACTTACCTTTTGTCTGGAGTACCACAGTTGCTGGCTTTCCAGCCCCTATTATTACCACCCGTTCAATCCACACTGGTGTCTCAAAGTGGCCTTTGGGGTCTGCTGAGCTGAAGATGGAAAAAGCAGTTGCCCATCAGGGGAAAAGAATGTCAGAACAGAAGGAAAAAGGAAACCCAAAGCAAGGTCAGGATGTGAGAAAAGAGCACAGTGAACAGTGAGTATCCCAAGCCCAGTCTCCTCCAGAGGCAGCCAAGGAAGAATGGGCACCCCAGTACCTGGAGACAAGGGTGTTGCCAGAGAATGAGAATCGACGAAGCAGGAACTCATGGCGAGTCTGATAGCTGAATGTGTGTCCATCGTCAAGAAAGAGCTCTCCTTGAGCTGTACCCTAAGTAGAAAGTAAGACAGGTGACGCCTGAGCCAAAAAAGGGACCAAGGGCACAACCCCAGGGGACTGAGTCCTAGGAAGGTAAGCAAAAGGCTGAGGAGGTTCCCTGCTGGTGCACTCACCTGGGAGCTGAGTGCAACAAAGAGAGTGATGGGATCATCCTTCATACAGTCTGAAGAACGCCGCACTCGCATCCATCGAGGCACGATTGTCCCTCCACGCTGGAACACAGGGATCTAGGGCAAGAGTAGTGGTGGGATGAAATCACACCCCCCTTTTCCAATCTTGGGGTCCATAACATCTTCTTTTTTCTTTTTTGAGTTGGAGTCTCACTGTCGCCCAGGCTGGAGCGCAGTGGCATGCTCCCGGCTACCGCAGCCTCGACCTGCTGGGTTCAGGCAATCCTTCTGCCTCAGCCTTCCAAGTAGCTGGAACTATAGGCATGTGCTACCACACCCAGCTAATTTTTTGTAGAGATGAGGTCTTACCATATTGCCCAGGCTGGTCTTGAACCTGCGGGCTCAGGCAATCCTCTCGCCTTGGTCTCCCAAAGTGCTAGGATTGTAGGCTTGAGCCACCACACCCAACCAACATCTTTTGCTCTTGTTCTTCTGTGCCTACCTACTTACGGGACCCCAGAAGCCACATTCTCCCCCCTTCTGAAAACCTACAAGCAGATGGAGCTGGCAACTAGGCAAGGCATACTCACACTGCTTAGAGTTACAGGCAGGTACAGGGTCTGTGGACCATGATGCTTCTGGTAGCTTTGAGTGTCATACCACACCTGAGTGT